CGTGTGCATTGCGACGTGACCTTAATGGAGCCCTGGAAACGCAGCTGCACCGGCCGACCACTAATTTGAGGTCTTTGTTAACGCAAGCGAGAAGCCCGTGCGTTGAGAGTGGCTCCTCTGAAACGGAATGAAAATCGACCTTTCAGGGCTGGGAATTCTCCCCGAGGCAGAAGAGTGGTTGGCGGGAACGGGGTGAATCTAGGTTTCGATGGTTCAGCCGGTCGTGGATGCGGTCGAGCGACGCTCATGAGCGATGAACCGTCCTGAATGGGTTCAGAATTTTTGCACGAGAATCTTAATTAGACGACCAACTTTTTCCACCCTCTGCGCCGTCGTGCCCCTTGCTCTACCGTTTCGGCAAAAAATCCGCGACTCGTTGAAATTTCACGACGCCTTTTAATTAACGAGGCTGCCGTGTCAATGGTATTTTGTGCATCCGGCGTTTTTTTTCAAAAATTTCGTTATTTCGCGTGTCACCGGGGAATTATAAAGTACTCTCGTATCGCGCGCGTCGATTCGTGGGAACGAAACCACGGGCAGAAGTTTATAAATTCGAAATATTTATTCGTTACGAGCAAATAAAATTTCTCTCCGCTTCCACATACTTTCCGCCCCGTTTTATCAACTCCGAACTAGCAGTTTCTCAACCTCTCGGTAGTTTCGTTGCTCGATTATTGATGTGGTTCACGGACTCTGTGTTTCTTCTCAGCTCATCATCTCTTATTCAACGTATCCTACATTCGTCTTCGTTTTTCCAGCTGGTTTCGTAAATTCGGTTGCATTATTTCTCTGTTCTAACTTCCGGCTGGTTGAATATGCGGCAGAGATGGATTCTTCACTCTCAAAGACTTCGTTAGTTGAAGGAAACACAATTATTTACGAAAAAATGCAGACTGAAAACTACGCAGGTGTTCTGTATCCGAATTTAAGTTCATTATGAATTAAATAAATAATTTATAATGCAGTGTTAATCGTATATCGTTTGTATAATCAATAGGAATAGCTGAAACTTCTTTGGGTATGTAGTGTCAAAGTAAATGTTAAAATAAACATGGAAGATAACATAAATTATAGTAGTAAGTATAGTCATTGGATAGGGGATGAAATGCCCTTTAAAATGAGCGTTTGTGCGAGTCGCTAGCTTTATTAGTTCCGGAGATATGATGATTTTAGTTTCAAGTCGATCGGGTGGCTAGTTTCGAAGATGCATCGCGAGGTGAATGAACTTACTACGGCCTTGTCAAGGTCGTTGACCGCACGTGCTCGTAGTAAATAGTAAACATGACGTCACTCGGTCACTCGGTCAGTGGGTCAACGTGCGACAAGGAGGTCCGAGCGCGTAAGACGAAGACAGAGATAAAAAAATTACCTTTTACATAAATTGCGATATCTCAAAAACGGAAAGTCCGATCGACAAAAACCAAAAACCACTTTAAAGGGGAAGTTTCACCGCTGCTAATGATACCTCGATAATTAATAAAACTCTAATAGTTTAGGAACTGCACGCGTCTAAAGTTTTCTGATTTTTAATACGCGCTAATAGGCGCTGAGCGAGATCGTAGTCGAATTAAAATAATTACCTTTTACATAAATTGTGATATCTCGAAAACGGAAAGTCCGATCGACAAAATTCAAAAGCCATTTTAAAGGGGAAGGTTTGCCGCTTCCAGCAATGCCTCAATAATTAATAAAACACTAGTAGTTTCGGAACTGCGCGCGTCTAAAGTTTTATTATTTTTAATACACGTTTATAGGCTGTTCTAAGACACTGAAAACTGAAGATTCTCAACTATACTTCCTATTTACTCGTCTCAAGCTCGTTCGAAATATTCCTACCTCCCCCGGCGGAGAAGACTAGAATCAGGCGCTAAATTTGAACAACATCAATTGCATAAGATCCTAATGGACCGTTCCAATCGGAGACAGGAAATCCCATCGAATGGCGTAATTCGTAATCGTTCCGAAACGGCTTGAGCCGTATCGGTTACACGGTTCTGACGTCGGTCGGAGTGGCACTGGAGCGCCCAAGAGGCCGCAAGGCGGTATTCATTCCCGCGTAAACTCGTGCCCGAAAGCAGTCGCTCGTCGGATCCGCGGAGTCGTTGGATTATGCGGCTCGTTGCGGCTAGAGATACTCGGGGTTCGCGTAGGCAATCTCGAGTGGTCGAATTTGAATGGGGACCTTAATTAACGCGGTAATCCTTGCTCGCGCCCATCGTGACGGCGCCTGGATGCGTTCCGTCGTGCACGAGGATGCGGAAATACGTCGAGTAATATTTGCGGAAATCTCCTGCTGCCTCGGAGGAACCTCGATGGCGCAATTTCGAGTCGCCTGCCGTCGCGCGTTACCGGATGATTGACGTAGCCTGGGAACGCGTCGACGTACCTCGTCAAAATCGCTGCGGGTAACTCGCGAAATTTAGAGTTTAATCGACTCTGTAGGGCACCCGACTCTGTTAATTGCTGGATCCGAAAGTGTTTCTGCAGCTTCCAGCGGCAACTGGGTCGCGATGTACTTTTCCCTGGAAATTGGTGGGCCACGTCTTTTTATTTTAGATATTTTTCGTCTTAAAGTATTAAAGAATGCAAAGTGACAGAGTTAAACCTATAGATAAAAATTTGAAATATTGCTGGAGGGTTAAAATTTCAGTATTTGGACAAGCTTGGTATTTCCTATGAATATTCTTATATAGCAAAGCATGAATGAATGAATTCAGGGTAGTCTTTAATTCAATGTAAGACAGTATCAGAAGTACAGTTATGAATATAAAGGATACTTCAATTTCATGATTTCATGGGCGACGTGAAAGTGTTAGGGGAAGAAATTCTGCCGTATAGTTTTTAAGCAATGACTGTCTTTATGATGTATAAAGTACGTAATGGAACCTCCCTAATGGTCCGAGATGACATCCTAGTAAAAGCCATGAGGTATAAAATGGAACGTCATATAAGCTTTATATATTTTTGGATGTATCCTTTAACAGTAAATAACAATTCGAAGCGTTTAAAAAAATGAACACTCTCCGGGGCCTCGTATCGAAGATTATTTCTGGTCACGTTTCGTTAACAATGCAACATATGGGAAAATGTTTGCAATAAATGTCGCTTGTTCTCAAAGGAACTGGCTATAAATACAACAATATTACGTAAAAGAAAAAGGCAGGACCCTCGTTCCCAGGAGAGCTATCAGACAGCGGTATCACGTACGATGGCGTGCAACAGTTTCGAGACAGTTGCTAGATAGCTTTCTAGCTCTGCTTTCGAGGAGCAAAGCCAAGATGGATCTCGGATGATATAGAATTAAAGTACCAGAAACATTTATTTTATTTATGAAGGGTATTTCTTTCCCCTGCAACGAGATTAAGAAATAATTCTATAAGTAAGAGAAGGTCTAGAAAACCCCTAAAACACATTAACTCGAATATATTTAATTCCCTGGGGGAGGGATCTATCTATACGATAATAATTTTCTCTAAAAATTATATATATTATTTATCTCATAAATTCTCGAGCGCCAAGGGAAGGTTGATGGATTGATCGGAACAACTATCACTCCAAAATGATTTCTAGATTATACATTCCCCTTTATGTCGCTCAAATTCTTGGCCTTTCTATCGAGTTAGACGCGTAACCAATTTCATTCGTGAAATTACTTGTACCCCGAAAACACGCAATGCCGACGGAACGCGTTCCCCGCGTCAAAGTCGTTAAAATCACGCCCGCCAGTGCGTACAATGGATCGGGCAGGGTAGGAAAACGAGGTACCGTTCACAAATTATTTCGTGTTCACCGTCGACGCGGTGAATTGTATCTCGTGACAGAGTAATGCCCACGGGAACTCGATTCTGCTACTTCGTGATTAACTGCCATACCCGGGCCGAGTTGAGCCCAGGAAGGAATTCCGTGTTACCACGTTCGATGGTACGATACGCTTTTCTCTAGATCGAGTGCACTCGTAACGGGAACGAATGATTAAGCAAACGATCGCTGCACAGGGTAAACCGTGTTCACGACCGCCTTGTCTCTCGATGATACCCGATGACCTCCATAATTCTACTCGTTTTATTGAGCTTAATGTTTCAGCCCCCTATTGTGATATTATTATCCAAAAAACACCGATTTTTCAGTCTTCATTGCCGCGGTTTTATTCTTCCACGGAGGTTTTAAATCCCAATAGTAAACATAGGGGGTTGGAACTGTAAATTACGCAAAATGGTTGATTATATTTTCATACAGCGAATGATGTCTACTTTAGAATTTTTTCAATCTTAAATTGAAAGCATCGTCTTGCGAATTTCGAGCGATTTTTTCGAGGCAATGGTTCGCGAAAGCCTCTGAGGTTTAATCGACGGCGCTTAAGATCGATTAGAAATATTTAATTACGATGCGGGTTCGAAGCGTCGTCCCGATCGGTGCCCTTTAAAGTTATTTTAGCGCTCGCGCGCCTTGTCTTTTCCGGTGCAGTGACTTTAATTAAAGCACCATGAGAAGTGGAGCAATTAATGACCGGCGACATAGTTCAAGAACTCGATACTACGTAAGTCCGTAATGAAAAAACTTTATCCCCCTCGGGTGGGAAGAGGAACAACGAACGGCTGGAATCACTTTACGTCTTTCGTCCGCGATTAAGAGGAATCTTGTTCGTCTAATTGCGATTATCAGTCGCTTGAAAATTAACGGAGCTCATGAAACCTGGGCTTATTTTTACTATTCGATGCGGTTCAAACGTTAAAGAATCCATTCAGGCATCTATATTAAAAATTGGGGAAGTATTTTCTACGTAGAAACTTTGATATGCAAATAAGTTGCAATAACTACATTTCCTTAAAATTTTTAGGAGCGTAAAAGATTGAGAAGTCGATGTGGCTATCGATCTGCTAAAATTGGTCGACCCAGAGTTTGAATAAAAATTAAAATATCGCGCGGTTCGAAGCGGAGGATTTCAAGCCACGCTTCGTGGGAGCGTTTTAATAATCCAGTGGTTTTTCTGGCTTTTCCAGAGAGGTACGCACAGTCGTGCTCAACAAAGGCTCTTCCGGTCTGGGTTTCAACATCGTCGGCGGCGAAGATGGCGAGGGAATTTTCATTTCCTTCATCCTAGCCGGAGGCCCGGCCGACCTCAGCGGTGAACTGCGTCGCGGCGATCAAATACTCAGTGTCAATGGCATTAATCTTCGGACAGCCACTCATGAAGAGGCCGCCGCAGCCCTCAAGGTATTTCAAACTCGTCGTTTTTAATCGCTCCCTCTTTGCTGTCTAAAATCCCCTCGAATCTAAATGGATCGTCCTCAAAATTAACTTTAAGACAGTTAAAACTGTTGTACACGGTTTCGATATCACTGTGCAGGGTACTGGCCAGACAGTGACGATCGTGGTACAGTACAAGCCCGAAGATTACAACAGATTCGAGGCTAAGATCCATGATCTTAAGCAACAGATCTCCCAGCAAAATATAATGACAGGCACCCTCATGAGGACCTCGCAGAAGAAATCACTTTACGTCAGGTAAATCAATTTTTTATTCTATTCTTTTGTATACAGCAGGATGGTCCACAGGTGTTTACCTTGAAATTTTATTTATTCGATCACCCACTTCGTAAGAAAATAAGACTAGATAAACTCAAAGTTCACAAAATGATCTGATAATTCCCAAACTATCTGACACTGGTCCAGAGCTAAAAACCACCCTGGCGTGCAACGTTGCGAGGGTCGAAGAATTTTTAACAGCTAGTAGAGGGTGATTTACGTTTTGCTTCCCAGAGCGTTGTTCGATTACGATCCCAACAAGGACGACGGTCTGCCGAGCCGCGGTTTGGCGTTCCGTTATGGTGAAATCCTACACGTGACGAACGCCAGCGACGATGAATGGTGGCAAGCCAGAAGAGTGAATCCTCAGGGGGAGGAGGAGGGCCTTGGGATAATACCCTCTCGCAGACGATGGGAACGGAAGCAACGGGCCAGGGATCGTTCCGTCAAGTTCCAAGGTCACATGCCAGTCATCCTCGACAAGGTAAGCATGACTAGGCGTCCACCATAACGGACATCGCGAGATTAGTATCGTGTGACACAGTTACTCGGCCATGGGAAACGCAAGAAAGCTTGAAAGATAATCTGTAGGATGTTCAAGGTCACTGCAGGATCACCTTACCTTCTAAACTTAACTCCACATTTTTTATTTCGTCTATTTTCATATTATCGAACCAAAGTGGTTCGTTTGAAAATTGCAAATGGTCTTGAAAACACTCGGTGAATCTTGCAGCAATCTCTATCCGATGCATGAAGTTTACGGATATATGTAGTTTTAGACAAAATAAACATTTCTTTCTCTTTTTACTATGACGTGCACGTTTGTGATTTCTATGTAAGGCTCTTCCTGTTCTCTACAGTCTCTCATACAGTAATTGTTTATCTAACAGACGGTTGACCAATTACAGCAATCGACCCTGGACAGGAAAAAGAAGAATTTCTCGTTCAGCAGGAAGTTCCCCTTCATGAAGAGCAAGGACGACAAATCCGAGGATGGTTCGGACCAGGAACGTGAGTATCCCGTGAAATGGCCACTCGTATCCTGCACGTTCTGTGCATGTTCAGACCCATATATATCTATTGTGGTTTTTTACGTGGTATTTTTTTTTTATTCTCGTCGTATCTCTATCAGTCGGTAATACATACGTATATTTAGACCCGCGTGTTTGAACTCTGCAGTTAGAATATTTTCACGTGTGTACTGCAGCCCACTGTTTTTTTGGATATTGTCAAAAATATCGTGGGACCGATGAAATCGCAGAGTAAGCGACATAGTCGAAAATATACTTTATTAAATGTCATTATTGGTATCTTATAACCCTTAGCGGTCTGAATTATTTTCTTTGCTGTACCGTTGTCTTTACTTCCTGTTATCGATCGATGTTTTACGTAGAAACTTTGCCGGACACGGACGAAACAAACCCTGGGTAAGAGAATTCTGTCCGTGTTGATAGTTGAGGCGTTAGGGTGGAGCAAAAATCAATGTTTATTTTTAAATATATTTCTAGAAGCTTATTTCCGAGCCCTGTTAAATGTCCGAGACTTCAGAAGATCGGAATATTTCTGTTATCAAGTTCCTTCGAAGCTTGGTTGAAATTGTTGCTCCATCCTAGTGCGCGTTTTTACCCAACGAAACGTAAAAAATAATAGATGAAAGAAGGAACGACAGGTACGACGGTACGCCCAACTTCCGATCGAGCTTTTGTGTTTTTTATCATGTGAAAACGTGACATGTGTTTTGTTTTTGCCTGCTTGTGTAGGGTCGCCCACGACACCCGAGAATGAAAACGATCCTACACGTAAGTATACCAACTTGGTCAACGAGACAAGACACGATCACACCGGGCACACACGATACACGTACACGCGAGCGCGCACATAGATCGATTTCTCGTTTAAAAAATTAACCGAAAAGAAAGAGAAAAATCTAGAAGAATCGAGTGACCGAATAAAAACGGGAAATCCAGCGACCCCTGTAAACGTCACGTCGAAAAAAGGTCTTTTCGTGGTACCATTCTTTGCTTGAGCACGCCTGCAGTTTCTCATCCTCGCACCGAGAGACACTCGCATCATGCGTTCTGCCTGCGTTTTATAACCAGCACACGACGAACGAGCTGCGACACATTCACTCGACACGCTTTCTAACTGGCTAGAAAAATATCTTTCTTTGTGGATTCGTCGTAGAAGTAGAGCTTTCCTCGAACGCTTGTAGCGATATCCTCTTTGCACGTGTACATAGTCACGGTGGACGAAAGTTTTCGATGTTTTCCCTCCCCACCCACCCCATTTAACGTTACTTACAGTTCTAGCTAGACGGATACCCCCCGCCGTACGAAAAGTTGCGACCGTTTATCGTACACTTCGCTCGCTTGGACAGTTTTGTTGCGATTCGTACTCGAAAGTTCCCTCTTTGCTTAATGCCGTGTTAAAGAGTCCGATGTCAAGCTACGCCCCGTATATGGCAAGTCCATTTCCAAGGAAAGACAAAGTACGGAAGTTGCTCTTAGCGCCATTACCCCTGAAACGCCATCGTTCGACGATAGCGGACCGCGTAGACGCGTCGACTGTTTCTGGCGAAATTTTCATTATCTACGGTTCAAAAGTTCATTCGTGAAATAATGGAACGTGTGAAACAAGTGGACAAAATTTATCAATATTTATCAAAAATGCTCTGCAAGCTAAATTTAATAAAATCTGAATTCCTAAATAGAGTAAATAACCAGCATAGAAATCTCGAAACTAGAACGAAAACGAGCAGAATGAAATAAACGTGCAATCAATTTACGGACGCATAGATAACCAAAAAATTATTTATCCTCGATTAAAATTCGATCTCCATTGAAAATCCCTCGAATTATGAACGACCTCCGCGACAGTCGGCGCCGTTAAATTATATTTTCGGGGGAAAAATAACGTATGAACGTGGAACGAAACTCGCGGAACAGATGGGCTTTCGAGCTATCACGGATCCTCGAGTCGGTTTCGAAAATAATCGAGTTAAACTCGACGGTAGGAGATGTTCGTGCTTGAAGCTTTAATTAATCCTAGCAATTATTAACGGTCGCTTATTAGTAGGCAACGTATACTGAAATATTGAACTTGTTATGTTTTAGCATTCATGCTGTGCTACACCCAGGACGACACTAACACCGAAGGTAATCACGTCTCTCTCTCTCTCTCTCTTCACATTTTCACTCTCTGTTTTTCTCTCCCCAGAATCTCTTTATTTGTACCTTTCTTGTCTGTCTGTGCCTTTCGTTCCCAGTCTCCGTTTTATACGTCTCCTTCCCCAACTACGTTTCATCTCGGTCGCATCAATTAACAAACCACACGTTCATTACCGCGATATAACGATCCATTCCATAGGACGAGTCCATTGTCGGGTCCCCGCGGCCTTTTGTCAGGATCCGTTGTCATTTTTTAATAACGCTTTCGACGATTAACGAACCCAGAAACTTCGAGGACAATCGAACCAGCGACTCGATCGATCCCTCGCGTGCCAGATTTTTCTCCTTTCAATTTCCAGTCGTCCATGGTCGAAAGATATTCGTCGTACCAACAACAATGGCGAACTATTTCTTGTGAAATAATTCCAACAAAAAGACTATCAAGGTTTATCTTTCGTTTCTCAAATTTAAAATAAAATCAAGGAATAATCACGAATCTGTTTAAATTCGATCAAGAACAAGAGCCCTTAATAATGTACGAATAAAAGTTGGTCAAACAGCGTTTCACGGTTCGAATAAAAATCGTCCGGCTTTCATAAAAACTTCACGCCGTCTTCGGGAACTAATACCAATTGTCACGAAACGATTTCACCCACGATTTCAGCGCGTTCATTCTCGAAACTCTCATTCACGCGCGCTTCTTTCATCCGTTCTCCACTCACAACAAGTGATTTGTCTTGCGTCGCAGGGAGTAGAGAAATTTTGTATCGTGTTGAACTGCCTTATATGGAGGAACTGACGTTAGTTTATCTGGAAAAGGAGGATGATGAGAATGATGACGAGCTTAGTAAGTGAAACAAGAAAAAAAAAGAAGGAGTCAGTGTGTGAACCGGAGTGAGCAAAAGACATACCAACTAGGACCTCCACTAACTAAATCGAACGTGGTTTCGATCGATACCCTCTAATCGTCGTTTTTTTGTTTAATTTTATAATACTATTTTTTTTTGTTACTTTCTTCACCTCCAGATCCCCCCGATCTACGAGCATTAACAAAACGCAGAAAACGCTTCGCGCATTTGAGACAGTCGCGACACGTGCTTTGTCTGTCTGTTTGACGTTTGGTTTCTCTGTGTACTAATCAACATCCTAGATCTGCGTAGATCGATAGATTATACGTAATCGCGTCGCTTCTTGTCGCTGAGAGAATATAGATTTAGATAGAGACCCTAAATTTCATTTCAGTAAACTCTTATTCCATTTAAGACGTGTCTCGTTTATTTTTATCGTGTCTCCGATGCATTGCAATTAATAACACTTGATCGTCGAGCGGTATTTCCTGTATATACGGAACATTCGTCGTTAGTTTCGAGGCTATAGCAATGAGAATCTATTGACCAGGAAACGGTAGTAAAGTAATTTCGCTACGCAGGGGCGTCGAGTATCGATTACGAGATCCAACCCTTCCGGCTCTAAGTATTAGCATAGTCGCCACATACTAACGCCACATCGACCTTGATACTGTTCGATCGCTTAACTTCTAGACTCTAGGGAGCTTAGCCCTTCTTCCTGCCCCCGCTTCGATCACCTAAGTGCTAAAGCATGGATCATGGCTACGTCCGAATCGAACGAGAACTTTAACGATACGGTCGCGTTTACCGCGCGCAGCTCTTAACCAAAATACCACTGTCCGTTCGAATCGAGTACCGTTTTGAGATTGATCGCTGCTCGACCCATTCTCTGTCGACGATAATGCAATTATGGCTCGAACGAGACACTCGCGTGACATGCCACCTGCTAAACAAATCCGGCCATTACGGACTGGCCACGAGTGTCTCGTTCGAAATAGCTCTTGGTCGTCCAGTCCTCGGAGATTCTAGAAATGCAATAATCAGACGCTTCGTTGTGTCGTGAATTTAATAAAATGAAAACGTAATAGAATAATATAAAATTTCTTTATTATCATGTTTAGAATATATAGTCCTCTAGTATAGGGATAAGATTTATTATGAAATTGAAAGCCAGACGAGCTCGATCGATTCAAGAATAATTGCATTTTTATTTGTCGTCCGTGGACCAGGCTGCCGAGTCGTAATATCGAGAGAAGCGTTTGTTCCCGTGTTTGATAGAGTGTAAACGTTCTAACCCGTGGATAAACATGTCTCGTCGCGTTGTCGCGGGGCCAGGGTTTGTACCGATGCCGAAAATTACAGGCAGCGAAGAGAACGTGCTGTCGTACGAGGCAGTCCAGCAGCTCACCATACAGTACACACGACCTGTCATTATCCTCGGACCTCTCAAGGATCGTATCAACGACGACCTCATCTCGGAATTCCCCGACAAATTCGGCAGCTGTGTGCCACGTGAGTGAAACCATTTAATCCCGTCGTTTGGCTTAACGACGTGTCGCTCGACGCGTTTACGGACGGATCGCGAGATTGCCTGGAAGCAATGCACGCGATATCTGGTACCACTGGGTTTCTTACCTCGCCGTCCTCCTCGTTCACACCCTTAATGCTGTCAAATTAAAATTAATCGTCCGCGGTAACAGCCAGAATCGATATAGATTCGACTTAGTCAAAGAAACTATAAAGTCGGAATATTGTACAACGAGAATCCAGTCATCGTTTGCTTTACCATCCATTGATAGTAGAAAAATTATACCAAAGACATTTTTACCCTTCCACGTTTTGGCTCAAGCTGAAAACATTTTCCAGAAAATTTATAAATCGTGTAAAAACGTGAATAAATATTTTATCAACAATCGATAGATGCTCTTCAAACTCTCACGCGTGTAAACATAATTCTCGAACAGTGCATACGATTGTTATAAATTTCGGACACAATACCAACGGAGTGCATCAAATCGTATGTTTGCCTTCGCGAGTATTGCTGGATTCTAGATAAATAATACATGAACGTTAATTTGCTTCACATTTGTGGGCGATCTCATCAGCAATTATGAATGGCAAATATTCTAGAAACGAGTCGTTATTCGGGTAACCAAACGCCATCCGGAATATTCAAACGTCCGTAACGCGTTAATTGAGAGTGGAAAATATTTGAAATTAACTAAAGGACGTTCGTTTGGAAAATTCTAAGGTGTTGAATCGAGACTGGGACTCGTTTTTGTAGATACAACGAGGAGTAGAAGGGAATACGAAGTGGACGGGCGCGATTATCATTTCGTGGCGTCGAGGGAACAGATGGAGAGGGATATTCAGAACCATTTGTTCATCGAGGCTGGACAGTACAATGACAATCTTTATGGAACCTCCGTGGCGTCCGTTCGAGAAGTCGCCGAAAAGGTAATTGAGAAAATTCGAGGAAAAATACATTCGAAAATTCTTCCCTCAGGTCTCGAGTCGAAACATGGGCGTAAAATGGATCGAATCAGTGTATCAGAAATTGAGGGAAATACTCCTTGTGCTTTCAGGGAAAACACTGTATTCTTGACGTGAGCGGAAACGCCATCAAGAGGTTACAAGTGGCACAGCTCTATCCCGTCGCCATTTTCATCAAACCGAAATCCGTGGAGTCGGTCATGTAAGTAGAGACTTTCCGTTAACGAAAGCCCCGGCACGATCCCCTCGCTAACGAGCTGCTTTTTATGCTTCCAGGGAAATGAACAAGAGAATGACGGAGGAGCAAGCGAAAAAGACGTACGAACGAGCACTGAAGATGGAGCAAGAATTTGGAGAATACTTCACCGGTAAGACATTTTCAATAATAGCCTGAAAGTTTAAAAAACACACGGTTATGCCAGACGTGGCTCTTAAGTTATGCCAACTTGTTTCTGGGGTTAGAAAATCAGTGTCTTTCCTTATTACTCCCTGTCGAGTTTTAATAAATTTGTTTGAGGCTGTACGGAAAAGTGGTCTAATACTTTTCCGTAGGTATCCATGAACACTACTTTCTCCCAAAATTTCAATTAAATATATTCACTATTCTAGGAATTATGATTGTTTGAAAATTGGACCATTTTTATTAGGTTTTTCTCATTTTACAGAGTTAAGCAACAACTTATTAAATATTGTTAGAATTTCTAAATATTCTACACTAAAATACGCGTTGTTTGCCTCTTGAAACATTAAAATCGTCCAATCCGTTCAGGAGTTATGATTTTTTAAAGATTTATATGAAATTTCAGGGGAACAAATCAACGGTATGGTCAGACATTTTCGGTAAAGAATTTTTTTCTCGAAAGTGTGTAGAATTTCGGGGGTATGTCTATCGACCAAAAATGATTGTAATCGACCCCTGCAGTCAACAATAATTTTTTTAGATTGATTTCAAATTTGTAAATTTTGCCGAAAAATTTCACACCTGCTCGAATTTTTTTCTCGAAACTGGTTAGGATTTCGGGGGTATGTCTATTGACCAAAAATGATTGTAATTAACCCCCGCAACCGAAAATAATTTTTCATGAATGATTTGAAAGTTTTCAATTTCATCGAAAAATTAAAGCACGTACCCCCTGTCGATTTTTCTTAGTAATTCGTTTTTGATTTTTAGTCATTTTGTTTGACGCCATATAGAAAAGTTGTCAAATACTTTTTCGTAGGTATCCATGAACTCTACTTGCTCCCAAAATTTCAGTGAAATATATTCACTATTATTGAAGTTATGGCTGTTTCAAAATTGAACCATTTATATGGGGGTTTTCTCACATTACGGGGTTGAGGAACAACTTTTCGAATATTTTTGGAATTTCTACATATTCTTGACTAAAATACGCGTTGATTGCTTTTTGAAACATGAAAATCCTTCGATCCGTTCAGGAGTTATGATTTTTTAAAGATACGTATGAAATTTCAGGGGAACAAATCAACGGTATGGACATTTTCGGTAAAGAATTTTTTTCTCGAAAGTGCGTAGGATTTCGGGGGTATGTCTATCGACAAAAAATGATTGTAATCGACACCCGCAGACAAAAATAATTTTTTTATAACGATCTGAAATTTTTCTTTGAGATTCGTTTTTCATTTTTAATAAATTTCTTCGACGCGTGTATAAACGAGGTACATTTAAGTGTCAATGACGCGACCACCTTGTCAACGCGAAACATTCTCTGTGTTTGCAGCCGTCGTGCAAGGGGACACGCCCGAGGAGATCTACGTGAAAGTGAAGGAAGTGATCGCCGAGCAGTCCGGACCGAACATTTGGGTACCATGCAGGGACCAGCAACTGTGACGTCCTGCCCCCCACGCTCAGCCCGGCCCGAACGCTTGGACTCTACCTCCGAGGCGTCAAGCTTAATTACTCTTAATAAAATAATCAAGCAACCGCTCTGAATGCCTTCCCCGTTCCCGTCCCGATGCCGTTCCCACCCACACCGACACGAACACACAACACAATGGTCCCACGTTTAAGGCGTTAACCGCGCGCGAACCTCGACGAGGACGGCTCTCGTCCGGCGGAACGTAGCCTCGCGAGAGAGCAAACGGGTTAACGAGAAAATTACACGACGAGTATGCGATGTTCCTCAAGCGTGTTCGCTCTCCTACGCGACTTGTTTGCCCCGGGTGAAGATGCTAGCGCGACACGGAGAAGAAGAAGAGAGAGTTTGACGACGAGAAACGATCTCCGCGTCTCCACTCAGCGACGCGGAGATCAATCCGTTTCGACGATCGTCCGACACGAAAGAGTTTTAAAACGTTGATGCGTGTTATAGTGTTACTACCAGAAAGTGTTTCGTTGTACCACGATGTTTTTCATGTATCTAATCGGATTTGTTGATCGAGATCAAGGAGACACCGTCGCGTGCGTTGATTTTATTACCGAGAAATTTCAAGGAAACGATACGAATACACGCGGCGATCGGAACAATCCCCCTGGCCCAACAACGAACAACATCGACGAACGTTTACTCCGTGCTTCGTAATTTATAACGCACGCCAAACCCCCCTGAAAACCACCCACCCCTCACCCCCCCGCACGGAGAGACCCCGTTTTCAATTGTACCCCGTCGTGTATTCGTCTCGAGATCGATTTTAACGCGTATATCGACGACACTCGATCGAGGTATATATGTTTTATGGAACGAATGACTCGCGTCGCGATCGATCGATCAGCGGCGCGTTCGCGAAATTAACAGACACGATTTCTCGCCGCGATCGTTCGCAACGATGCGCACAGCACCGCTAGACGCTTGATAAAAAAAAAGAAAAAGAAAAAGAAAAAATAATAAAGATTCCCCGCAGTAATCGCGGCGATAGAGACGAATAAACGAGTAAACGTAACAGGATCGAACGATTCGCGGCAAACGAATAAAAACATGAGAATTATTCAAAATGAAAAACTTGGCTTCGTCGATCACTATATATAACGTATAGCTTGTCCGGTTAATTCTGAGCGAAGTAGCAAGGTATTTTTTAATGTACTTAATCGCAATAAGAGGCGAGCGAAGTGCGAATCGGTGGGATTCGAGTTCGTCGGGGATGCCCAGCACGAGGCATCTCGCGTCGATGAGCCTCACGATTCATCAAACCCACACAGGACAAATCTCTAGATGCTAGAATAGCGATATATAATGTTTTGTACAGCTAGATTACTAAGCCAGTACTGGGTTATGTGCAACATTATATATATATATATATATATACACATATTATATATATATATACATAAAAAAAAAAATATATATATATAGAGAGAGAGGAAGAGACAGAAGAGTAGGCGACGAGCTGCGACCGGGAGAAAGAATGAAACTCTATTGTAATTTAAATACCACTACTAAATTATTATTACGATAGTAGGTATGTATTATTGTAAATACCTGTACCCGGGTAAAAATCGAGATGGAAATTATGCGGCGCTGGTTGCGCGAGCGTGTGACCGAGAACAGCGAGATACAAGCTCGCCGGCCGGAGGATAGTGAAAACGCGCGCGACGCGTCGTTTCTATTTTTCGAGTTCGAGCGAGGCGTTCATTTCTTCGTGTTTCGTTTTCTACGATTGGCACCCTGGGCCAATCCATAGAAAGCCCCGGGATCACTGGACAAGCGTGGTGTTGAGAGGAAAGAGAATTTAGCTCAACAAGCTTTCGGGACCCTCTCTAACCCGAATTATTTTCACTGAAAGATCAACGATCGTCGATAATCGAGACGCGAGGTGAATTCTATCTATGGGTGTGAGAAATTGTACCTAAATAGTTGTTACGGGTGGGATCGTTTGTTGCCTATTCTATTGCTTTCTCGCGTACACGCGAGAGTCAGAGCCGCGTACGGTTACAGAGGGTCGACGAAATTTCTGGTCTGACCGAGTTCGATACAGGTGTCTCGTTTCACTTGTTGAGCTACGCTCGAATCGGACGAAACGCCTCGGTAACTGTTTCACACGGGTGGATCGAGGGCTCTCCCCGGAACCTCGAAACTTGTTCAACGCGAACAGAAGACCAGAGCTAGAAACAATCAGTACTTACGAGCGAGATGGGGGCGATGCGATTTTACTTGGCGGAGCAAACGCGTCGATCGCGTGAAAATTGTTGGGGGTGCAGCCATTTTAGAAGAATTTATTTAGGGCCGTGAACGTTTTTACCCCTCTCATACGTCGATCGCGCGAGCTTCTTCGATACATTCATAAATTAAACCTTGTAATTAAAAACGTTACGAGAGGTCAAATATTTCTAGTTTTCGCCGCGTTTAAGAGTCGAACGCGTGGCTCCGTAGATCTTGATGATTCGCTTTTCACCCTGATTCTACCAGACGACGGAGCGTATACTAAATTTAAGGAACTGTGGGGTCTCGACGAATAAATTTTACGTAGTCTTATGTTACGAAATATATTAAATGGCATTATATACGAATCTACCCCGCGGTGAGCCAAAGTTAGGGTGTCGCGAACCATCGAGATTTCCACCTATGGCCACCGGTCTGATTTCTGAAACCGACTCGATGTTAAGATCGACGCGTTTGCTCCGTCATTTTACGTTCATCGTGGAGGCACTGATGGAGATTTCGACTCGATCGTGGCGGAAGCGAATTGGCCGCGCGCGTCACCGTTTAGTTCGCAGTCGATCCGATCGAACCTGCGATTGCTTCACCCTTTTAGTTAGACGAGCGGCAAAGGGCCGAATTGGGTTACTGTTCGTTCCGTGGGATGCCCCGGGAGCGAACGGCGCCGATCGATCGGGTATAATTAGCATGGGTACGCTTTCTACGAGCTATTTTTCCTACGACAGAATCCTGTGTTTGGAATCGTTAACGCCGACAGCCGTGTCGCCGCCGTATCGCACGGCGAAACACGAAACGGAGCGTAGGTTTTCCTTCTTTTCTTTCTTTTCTTTTTTTTCTTTTCTTTTCTCGTGACCGCCGAGAACTGGCGAGCAGCGTCGCCGTGATCCGCACATGTCGTGCCTGAAGACAGAGCTAGGCTTCGCCAAGTTAAAGAGTAAAAGAGAAAAAAAATTTAATGGAAAAAATCGTATAAAAAAAAAAAGAAGAAAACGACAAAAAAAAAATGAGTAAGATATGATGCAGAAAGAACGACGTCTGTCTCGATGTAAAGGAACGTATAAAGAGAATAATTACTACAAACACTTATTATACACCTCTATAGTCTATTTAATAATATTACTTATTGAATTGTCAATCTCATGTTCACCTTGTTTCATCGTTTTTAAATAGTTAATAAACGTTTTACCAATTTTAATGGCGATCTATTCCTTATATCTTCTTTCTGCGTGTTCTCTTTTTCGATTCCCCGATGTTGCCCGAAGTAATTTCGGATCGTCTCGTGGGAGGTGAGAGAGAAAGACTCACATTTGCCTTCTCGCTCTTGTACAGCTGCAATCCAACCTCGCGTCAACTGCATACGATTTGGGATCTCGACTGTTCAGACATTATTATAATACTTCTCGATCTATGTAGGCTCGCATAAGCGAAGTATCGTAATGGGAAAAAAAGTTTTGTGAAATTTTCTTTTTCGGGCATACACGTTTTAAGACCCCCTGATCGTATTTTAATTATTGAAAGAAAAGAAATTGTTTCTTTTATTATTCCTCTGTATGAGCGTACATATGTACATTATTAATACGATTTTTCAAAATCAAAATACTTTAAAATTGAAAATTAATAAAGTATAATGGGAGTCCACCCTTTGCTAGTATCGTGCACGCTGTAGCATTTTTCAATAAGGAGTGTTCTTATTTTTATAATGTGAACAAAACAGAAATTGATAATGATTTCCCTCGAAAACTGCGCGCCATCTAGCGTTGCAAACAGCGAACTACTTGCAAATCATGCACCACAGATGGGTCACACTTTTTTTACTTTATGCGCAGAGAGCATCACAGACAAACTAAGCGGACATTTAAATGGGCAAGAATGCAGTCCCTTATGTATACACTACTACTATTATTATAAAATAATAATAATGAGCTTTAGACACTGTTTATTAATTAGACTGAAATACATTTAGTCTCAAGCTAACGTGTATTATGTTTGATATATTGTAAAACCGTGGATTTACTCAAAGAAACGTAGAGACTAGGAATATATGTTGCAGTGTCAAGCACAGGTTACCAGTGTCTTCAGGAATAATTAGACAGGGTTTATTAATTAGATTGACGTACATATAGTCTTCAAGTTAATGTCTATTATGCCTGACTCGATGTGAAACCGTGTACTTGTGCACGATGTAGCATTTTTAAATAAGAGTGGTCTTATTTTTATAATACGAACAAAACAGAAGAATCAATTGTTGCAGAATTTAATTAACAATGACTTTCCACGATATGTTTTCAGATAACTGAGCTTCTGTTGGTCTCTACATGCCTCTACTGGCATCTGATCGTCTCTGCTGGCCTCTACTGAAATCTGTTGACCGCTGCCGACCACTCCTGATACTTCCGACAACGTGTAACGATTACATCTTGCTACTGCCAGCCTCTCCGAGTCTCTGTTGGCCTCTCCTGACCACCCCTTATATTTCTGACAACGTAAAGCGATCACTACTGACTTCTGCCTGTCTCTGCTGGCCTCTGTTGACCGCTGCTGACCACTCCTGATACTTTCGACAACGTATAACGATTACAACTTGCTACTGCCAGCCTCTTTGAGTCTCTGTTGGCCTCTGCTGACCACCCCTTATATTTCTGACAACGTAAACCGATCACTACTGACTTCTGCCCGTCTCTGCTGGCCTCTGCTGACCGCTGCTGACCACTCCTGTTACTTCTGACAACGTATAACGATTACAACTTGCTGTTGCTTGCCCCTGCGTGCCTCTGCAGGCCTCTGCTGTCCCCTGCTGACCCCTACTGTCCCCTGCTGACCCCTACTGACCCCTACTGACCCCTGCTGACCACTGCTGACCCTTGTTAACAACTTCTGCCCTGATATATATGTATTAAAACATTGTATAATGTAAAGCTATGACAATAAATGATATAATTACAAAGAATTCTATGTGTTCTCATCATCTTATACCTTTCTTTCCTTTCCTCTTAGTTATAAGACTCCCTGAAACTCCTTGGTTTCCCTGAACCCACTAGGAAGTCCTTAAACACCTCAGAAGTCCTGAAAATCAGAACTTTGCTAAAAATCCAGAGTTTCCAAGAATTTTCGGCGTTTCTAAGAAATTTTCAAGAAATTCCAAGAAGCTGTTTCAGGCCTTTCCAGCTGTTTCAGGACTTTCCATCTGTTTCAGGGCTTTCCAATTGTTTCAGGACTTTCCAAAATTAAAAGTCGTTTCAGGGTTTCCAGCTGTTTCAGGACTTTCCAATTGTTTCAGGGCTTTCCAATTTCCGGGGTTCCCAAAATTAAAAGCCGTTTCAGGGATTTCGAGCTGTTTCAGGACTTTCCAATTGTTTCAGGGCTTTCCAATTTTCGGGGGTTTCAAAATTAAAAGCCGTTTCAGGACTTTCCAGCTGTTTCAGGACTTTCCAATTTTTCGGCCCCCCCAAAATTAAAAGCCGTTTCAGGGGTTCCCAGCTGTTTCAGGACTTTCCCATTGTTTCAGGAATTCTCAATTTTCGGGATTCCCAAAATTAAAAGTCGTTTCAGGGGTTACGAGCTGTTTCAGGACTTTCCAATTTTCGGGATTTCCAAAATTAAAAGTCGTTTCAGGACTTTTCAGCTGTTTCAGGCTTTTCCAGCTGTTTCCGGACTTTCCAGCTGTTTCAGGCCTTCCCAATTGTTTCAGGACTTTTAATTTTTGATTCTGGCAGCAAGTACGAGAGCTGGACACTTTGGGAATCCAATTCTAACCGGAAAAACGGTCTCTTAAAACTAAGGGAATGATTTGGAGAGGAAAAGAAAGGTAAAAATGATGAGAAGACATAGAATTCTGTTAAATTATCTCATTTATTGCCATAGATTTACATTATACAAGGCTTGAATACTTATACATCATGTCAAAAGTTGATAACAAAGGTCAGCAGTGGTCAGCAGTGGTCAGTAGGGGTCAGCAGGGGCCAGCAGGGACGAGCACACCCTGGCAGAGATCGACGAAGGTCAGCAGGTACCAGTAGTAGCAAGTAGTACTCGTTATACGTTGTCAGAAGGATCAGGAGTGGTCAGCAGCGGTCAGCAGAGACCAGCAGAGACCAGCAGAGACCAGCAGAGGTCAGCAGAGATCAGCAGAGGCCAGCAGAGATCGACAGAGTTCAGCGGGTACCAGCAGTAGCAAGTAGTACTCGTTATACGTTATCAGAAGGATCAGGAGTGGTCAGCAGCGGTCAGCAGAGGCCAGCAGAGGCCAGCAGAGGCCAGCAGGGACACGTATATGCTGACAGAGATCGGCATAGGCCAGCAGTAGGAAGTAGTAATCGTTATACGTTGTCAGAAGTATGAGGAGTGGTCATCAGTGGTCAGCAGAGGCCGGCATAGGTCAGCAGAGGCCAGCAGAGGCAGGCAGAGACTCGCGCATGCTGGCAGTGGCGAGCAGAGGCCAGCAGAGACAAACAGTAGCCAGTAATAATCGTTATACGTTGTCAGAAGGATCAGGAGTGGTCAGCAGGGGTCAGCAGAGACCAGCAGGGGTCAGCAGAGACCAGCAGAGACCAGCAGAGACCAGCAGAGGTCAGCAGAGATCAGCAGAGGCCAGCAGAGATCGACAGAGGTCAGCGGGTACCAGCAGTAGCAAGTAGTACTCGTTATACGTTATCAGAAGTATCAGGAGTGGTAAGCAGAGGTCAGCAGAGGCCAGCAGGGACAAGCATATGCTGACAGAGATCGGCATAGGCCAGCAGTAGCAAGTAGTAATCGTTATACGTTGTCAGAAGTATGAGGAATGGTCATCAGTGGTCAGCAGAGGCCAGCATAGGTCAGCAGAGGCCAGCAGAGGCAGGCAGAGACTCGCACATGCTGGCAGTGGTGATCAGAGGCCAGCAGAGACAAACAGTAGCCAGCAGTAATCGTTATACGTTGTCAGAAGTATGAGGAGTGATGATCAGTGGTCAGCAGAGGCCAGCAGAGGCAGGCAGAGACTCGCACATGCTGGCAGTGGCGAGCAGAGGCCAGCAGAGACAAACAGTAGCCAGCAGTAATCGTTATACGTTGTCAGATATATCAGAAGTGATATCTGAAATAGTATACATACGTACGCCAATACATAGGAATAATAAAAGACAAAGGTGCATTTCCGTAAAGAAAGTTTCAGAAAACCCGGTGCTCCGTCTGGCATCTCTGATCGCGACACTCACACTTTGAAAATTTAGTTTCGTTTCTCATATTCGGACGAAAGTTGGTCGGCATTCGATAGAGCGATAATTAAAATTTTTTTTCAAGGCGAAAGAGACCATTGATATTTTTCTAATTAGCAACGATTTGAATCTAAATCTCGTCGTCTTTCAGGAACCGATTGATCACTCGAACATCAAGGTGGACAAAGGTAGGTGTCAAGAACGAGACAACGTTAATTTCGGTAAAAATACTTGTTTTTTATTACATCGATAGGATAACTCGTTACTGTTATTAGCGAAAAGAAAAAATCACGAGTCGAGTTCGTTACGAAAAAATCGAGTGTTTGTCGGTCCATTGTGACTTGTTCGATAGCCTGACGGTACAGAGCAATGATAAATGAGACGATGACAATAATAATACTAATTCAATTAATAATCATAACTCTTCGTTATTATTTTTTTTTTCCTTTTTTTCTCGATTTAATCATCATTTCCTTAGTTCCATTTCTTTAGACGAATCACAGAGAGAGAATTTAATTTGTATCTTCCTCGCGTTAACATTATATATTCATTAAACTAAACTTCTGAAATAAAATATATATATGTACGTATATATACATATATATTTATTTTATATATATATATATATAATATATTTGTTCTTTTTTTCACATATAATCCTTCTTTTCTCGTAAAGCAGCAGCAGTTTAACACATTTAGAAGTATCTCGAATATATATAAATTACAAGGGCAGGGGGGGCAGGGGGTGTACGGGGACCGGTGAGGGGAGAGAGAGAAAGGGCGGGAGTGGAGGGGGGAGACGTTACAGCTAAGAAAATGTACATTCATAGTTCGCTATTATGTATATATCGTACAATAAAAAAAGCGGATAATCGTGACAGTAGTGGTAATAGTGGTAAGGTGGCGATAGTAATAGTAATTTTAGCGGTAGGTTGTAGTAGTCGCGCAGTAACCGTGTCGGTAGTGGTAAATAGTAATAATATTAATAATAATAATTAGTAGCTGTAGTAATTGCGATAGCCCCTATATTGCGAGTAGTATGTACATACGCGACGCAGCGTATCCGTTCGGTTTTAATGAAATTACAAGTTCCCTTCGAGTCCCTTCCAACGCCTTCCGCGATCAGTACGCATATGCACGTGTTCTTTTTTACGCTAATATGAACAAGTGTCGCCGTGTGTGTTCTCTGGCTGCTACTTACATCGTTCATGCTCGCGCGTACGTTCCACTTTCCGCTCGAAAACGTACAATTTACCCAGCCAACCTGGCTCGCGACAGCAACACTTTCTCGTCCGATCTCGCGAAGAGAACCGAGGCGTAGACGCACACGTTCCGGATAATCGTTTTATTCGAAAATAGGTAGTATGTACACATGTGAACCGCACTGTCCGCGCGAAATATATTCCTTTAAATCGTCAGACAAGAAAGAAAAATTAATATTAATGGTCAGAGACCCGCGGGCCAGCCAACGCGACGATTCCGTCTACTGTACAAACTTCTGCGTCGAGGAATTAAATTATAACCATCCGTACCTTCTCCGATCGAAGACACGGATCCGTCTGTCGCCTGGCCCGGGTCCCTGTTCGATTCGTACAACGCACAGAACATCGAGAATACGCATAGAGATATTTCCCTGAGACTGATTAGAACGATCGAAATCTGTATACCGGAATCAAAACGAAACGCGCAAGTCTGGCTTTTGCTAAACATTTTATTTCAGGAGCCTTCTGCACCCTATCGATCACACGTAGAATCACCTCGTAATCGTCGTCCAATTGTTGATCAGAAGATCAAAGCTCGAGTCTGCGTTTCCAGTTACTCGATCTGTACGATCAACGATTGACGGAAATGTTCCGCGTCTGTTGTAGAGCAGGGACCACGAAAGAAAAGCCCTGGAAGGAATTCTTCGAACTGGATTGGCTGTTCCAATTAGCTTAAAAATGACCGTGCCATATTCTTCCCCGAGGCTTTTCTTCTCTGCTCCCTGCTGTACATTCTTAGAATCGTTGTAGTGACAACGACGTGGCCGATAGGTCCTGCAACGCGTTCACTGCTGATCTTAGCTTCTGCACTCTATCGATCACATACAAAGTTTCAACAACATGGTCACCTCGTCGGTGATCGATCCTTTAAAACTTCGAGATTAATTGCTAAATATGACAGACATTGACAATTTTCTAGAATTCATTCTTATCTACAGATTTCGAAAGAGTTTCATTTATTTTCGATCCTTCTAACTAAAAAACTGACCCCCGAATTAAAAGTAACTCCGATCGTTCCTACGATAGAAACTTCGAAGACAAACGGAACCGGACAACAGTGAACGCGTCGGGTCGCTTCTCCTCGGTTTCTTACGCAGACGAGGATCCGTTATTGCACATCCTTTCATTCGTCGTCCGCGAAATTGCACATCCCAAATAAGAAACGAAAGAAAAAAAGAAACAGAAAACGTAAATGCGCCCATCCTTTCGACGACTAATCAACGGTTACTTAAAATCTAAACGGTAAATGGTTCGATCGACTCGCTTGACTCGCTGCTAGTACAAAAGAAGGAAGGTTTCGAGGAGGGGGAGAGAGGGGGGTTAAAGAGACGAAAATAAAACTAACGAGTGGTAACGTGAAAGCCTGGCTGTATCTCCTCCCAACGAACGAGTCGAGCTTGCGATTAAAAAATATTTTCTAGACCCACGTGCGTGTTCTCCGTTTCTGCTAGCGACCGTCCCTCCCCGAGAGAACGTCCGTGATTTATTCCGCGAGGACTGCGTTGGGACTCCCTTCGAATCGTGGATTAAAACGTTTAAATATGCATCAGGAAGTATCCGGGGTACGATTCTTCGGACAGGAACGGTTATTGATCGTGCTGCTTTCGACGACGATCATCTAGAAGCGTTTACAATTAGAGGCTCGATCGCTCGGCCGATTCTGCGGTATATCGATAGAATATCACTGTTCTGCGATTAGACACGAATGGAGGGGAGGACGTAGACTCCCCCCGATAAATACTGCTAATATAATCGCGTCTGCCTAAAAATCACTGCACCCACGCACCTCCCGTCGACTGAACGTTCGGTTGCCGCGAGCCTGTCGTGCGAGAAAGGAGACGCGCGTGAATTGAAAGATTCGATCGCCGCGACACTGTTTCGTCCAGACGTTCAATCCGCGGCGGACTTGTTACCTTGTCGCGTTCTGGCCTGCCTGCCCCGCTTAGGCGACAGGTTCTTCTCCTTTCTCGGCGCGTCCTTCGCGGAGGACGTAGACGGCGTGACCTGGGGTGAGGTTTGCCCCAGCCGCACCTCCTGTCACCTGAGGTTGATCAGGACCCTCTCCACGCTCAGCAGTGACCTCACTTTCTCGTTGTACTTGATCAGGGTGACCTTCGAGCCGCGCACGTTGATCCTCTCGCCGCCGCTCAGCAAGTGACAGCAACGAGACTGCTCCAGAAAATCGTGGAGCTTCAGCTCGCGCATCACGTCGCGATGAGCGATGGCCGGTGGACCAGCGTGCGCCTTCGGGTTCACTTGACGCAGCAACGCGTCCCTGCTCTTCACCCTGAGGGCCGCCATCAGGTCCTGCAGGAGCACCCACTTGTCGGGGTCGTTGGTCAGGGTGAACAGAACCGGCAGGTTCACGTCGCTCACTTCCATCTCGACCTCGTCCAAGTCCGGCTCCGGATTCTCCAACGGTGGATCGGCCAGGGGGTTGTGGCCAGTTTCTTCCAAGTCTGCAATGATCGTTCGACGAATTGGCATCGCGTTTAGAAACTAGTCGCGAGGGTCGAAGGAAGAATCGACTTGATTTTTAATAAATTTCTAAGACACTGTATGGAAATGTTGTCTAATACTTTTTTGTGTGTACCCATGAACTCTACCCCCTCCACAAATTTCAATGGAATATATTAACTATTATAGAAGTTATGGCTGTTTCAAAATTGAACCATTTCTATGGGGGTTTTTCTCACTTTACGGAGTTAAGCAACAACTTATTAAATATTGTTAGAATTTCTAGATATTCTACACTAAAATACGCGTTGTTTGCTTTTTGAAAAATGAAAATCCTTCAATCCGTTCAGGAGTTATGATTTTTTAAAGATTTATATGAAATTTCAGGGGAAGAAATCAACGGTATGGTCAGACATTTTCGGTAAAGAATTTTTTTCTCGAAAGTGCGTAGGATTTCGGGGGTATGTCTATCGACCAAAAATGATTGTAATCGACACCCGCAGCTAAAAATAATTTTTCCAGAATGATTTGAAACTTTTTAATTTCTGCTATCGATTAAGAAAATGTAATTCTCGCGACATATTCGATTCCCAGCAACGGCGGCAATTTTTTTTATGATATTTGTCGTTCCCGGGACATTCTGTTTGTATATGCGAGCCCCATCAAAATGCAATACAGCGAACAATAGTGCTGTGATCGATCCAAATTCAACTGGCGGCTCAAGGCCATGAATGGCCACCCCCCACCACGTTCAGCCACGCCGCTGCTCTATCTCCCCTTTCTTCGTCCCGACCCATTGTTGTTTTAAAGACAGAAAGTGCAAACGCGCGGGCGAAAGCTCTTTGTTTCACAAATATGCAGGCAAACCGCCGTAATTTTATCTGTACAGAAATAGTAACACAATAGGCGGTAGCGTAAGAAAGAAACAGCGATATCGGGTTAGCGAGATGTACATACCCCGGGGTACAAACTCAGAGAGCAAACACGACCGTGAAAGGGAAAGACAAATAGGTTTGAACGATACAGAAGGGATATCACGCTTAGATAGACATTTTTGTAAGTACCAGACGCGTCGTGATAGGATGCCTGTGACATTACACACGATCGAAAAACTTATCTTCGCTATTGAATTTGAAACAAAATTTGATGCATGTTACAATCGATTTGTAAAAGTAGATTTTCAATAAACTTGCAGACATGTTTGAACAGTAGTTGCCTATCCTAGTCGAATTTTCCTTCAACCCTGATGACTTATACGAAAGATAATTACCAAAAATTGAAGAGGGACCGCCAAAGGACCAGGGCGTGCTAGTCCGACCTTGAATGTCGTCCAAGTGTTGCTCCAAAATCGAGTAGGCTTCCGTGTCAGCAGCCAGCATCAATGGAGTCTGCCCGGAATACGTGGCTAACAGGGGATCAGCTCCGTAGGAGAGCAATAGGCGAACGAGTTCGGTAGCACCGTTTTCTGCCGCCTCGTGAAGCGGCCTGCAACGAGATAGCACACATATTTTAATAACTTCGACGATGCATTCGCAACATTTTACCCTGAAACACCAACATGAGAAAAGCGAGTGATGCACAAAGGTTGGTTTACCTGACCGGGTAAACGTGATAGCGTTGTATCGTTGGAAGATAGAAGGAAATTTCATTAGAAAAAGATTAAGGTCATCTCTGTTTCTTTGAATGTAAAATATTGGTGTTTTAGGATTAACAGAGGAGCTTCTAAATGGGTAAAAGTAATTACCGTATTCCTCCGTTGGCACTCTCGCTGGCGTTCGCTCCGTAGGCGAGCAACAATTTCGCTATTTCTAGATGGCCTTTCGAACATGCTTCGTGAAGCGGCGTGTACCCTGCGTTGTCCTTAGGACTTGGTGCGTTGTTCAGCTTCTCCAAACAGTACGCCGTGACATCCTGCGAATAGAGAAGTTCAATTTTTATTTAACACGTTCACTGTCCATACTATCGGATACACGAAGAGAAACGAGTCAGACACTTTAATCTAGTCATCGTAACATTTCCATCCAGGCAAAAATCGTTTCTTCTCGTCAAACATGGTTAAACAATAAATATCTTACCGTGTAACCGAGCCTAGCAGCCCGATGCAGCATCGTCTCGCCAACCCCTTTCTTGATCACCCAAGTCCTGATCTCCGACTGGATGTCAGCGACGCATTCCGAACTGGGCCTCGCTAACACTTGCTGAAAGGTGAACCATCCCGTGAAACTGAACCCTCGAAACGCTACGGTAGTACACCGATTACACCAAACAATCAAAACCTACCCTCTTCCTCTCTTTAGGCAACGTTTCGTCCTTCTTAAGCGGTTTCTTCTTCTTCCGGATGTAGTCGAATCCCGACCGAAACTTTCGTCGACTGGTGCGCAGTTTCAGTTTCTTTTTATTGGGGATCTCCGACTCGTTGGCCTCGTCGTCCAGCTCTATGTTCTCCACTTCCTGGGTGTCCTGAACCTCGTCCTTGACCACCTCGTCCTCCGCCTCGGTCTTCAGGCGTTGCAGCTTCTTCTCGGCGAGTGACTTGAGCAAATCTTTCCGTCTCTTCGCGATCAACAAATGACGCTTCGAGTTGAGGATGGCTTTGTGGCTCCTCAAAATGCCAGCGTTCTTCAAACGCGACACCACCTTCTGCTTGAGCGACCTCACCTTCCCCAGGGTGTTCTGCGGCGTCTCGTTTTGGGAATCGTCGTCCTGAGAAGTGTCGTCGTGGTTCTGCATGGGCGGTGCGGACGCTGGCCTGTCCTCACCGAAAACTTCCCTGATGGTGGCCTGCTTCTTCAGAACCCTCGTCTCCGTCCTGGTCCTGCTCTTCAGCACCAGGGTGGAGAACTCGTTGGGCAGAGCGTGGTTGTTTTTGAACGTGTCGCGGAAGTTGTTGACAGTCTCTTTGCGGAAGTACCCGAGGAGGAACGAGTCGGTCACTTTGATGGGTTTCATCGATTTGTTGTCCTTTATCGGTGACTTGCCTTTGGGCAGCTTGGACGTGTCCAGCAGAGGCGTGAGGCTGGGCGTTGGGAGCAGCTCTGGCTCGTTGCTGCCTTTCTGGAGCAGCTTGCCTCCTTTGTCCTTGTCCTTCTGCTTCCTCTTCTGCTCCCTCTTGCTGGTACCCACCTTCTGAGCTAACACGTCCACGATGGAGCTGCTCTCCGACTTGGGGTGCTTGACAGGCTTCGGCGGGCAGGAGATGGTCGTGGAGGAGGTGGCCTCCTCGTCGTCGATCTTGCTCCCGGACAGGCTATAGCTGGACTCAGCGTCGCTGTCCACGAGCTTCTTTCGGCTCAGGCACAGGTCAGAACTGTCCATCGACACGGACAAGGCTGGAGAGCCAGGGTCCAGGTCTGGCAACGAGGTGGACAGCCTGTGAAACCTCGTGGGCTTGGACACCGTGATCAGTCTAGGTGGCATCCTCAGGGACTTCTTGTACACGTACACTTCCTCCTCCCAGCCAGGCCTGAAGTCGCTCCCATCGCCGAACAGAGGCTTGGGCTTGCCTTTCTGGGACCCTGCGTTCTTCGAGCTCGAACCTTTCGGGTCCTTGTCTTTGGACTTGTGCGGCGTCGTGTCTCTAGATCGTAGTTTCATCCCTTCAGCCTCTGTACCGTTGTTGCTGGTACGTTTCCTAGCTCTTAACCTGTCCGCTACCGAGGAACCAGGACCAAACTCCGCGCTACCCTCGCTTTCCTCGCTGGAGGACTCGCTGCCGCTGGACGACTGCAGCTTGATCCTGCTTCCGCGACGCACCCTTCTCTTCCTGCAGACTATCTCCTCCTCGCAGTCGCTCTCCTCTTTCTTTATCTTCTTCTTCGCCCGCCTGATCAACGGTACCTCGTCGGAATCGTCGCTGGATGCCTTCTCGTCGTCCTTGGACGCGTCAGGTGGTTCAGCTTCCGGCTCAGCTTTCACCTCCACCTTGATATTATCCTTCGTCTCCAAACTCTCTTCCTCTTTGCTAGTTTCCGGCAACTCCTCCTTGACGTCCAACGACTCAATGTCCTCCAGCTCCTTCTTGATGTCCTCCGGCTTGATCTGCGACGCGTTGGCGTCCGACTCTTTGTCGCTGTCGCCGCCCGTCTCGTCCAGCTTCGACGTCACCGTGCAGCTGGTCTTCTTCTTGCGACCGCGTCTCTTCATCACCTCCCCGGTGCGCAACTGCTCCATAAACCGGTCGCACGTGGTGGACCAGAACGTGTCTACCTCGGTGATCTTGTCGTTTTCCTGAAGACAATCGTACAGAATGTTTTCTACAGAACTTTGTTTACTCGGTAGTCAATGTCATCGTACTCTAAGTGTGTTTTTTTTTTTTTTTTTTTTTCTACCGTCCCCCTAAGGTGATCTACTTGCCTCTAGTGTGTCTAGCGATATTCTACTCTCTCTCTCTCTGTTCCGTCTCTGACCAAAAATTTACTTCCCTCCGTCGACTGGCTACTGTAACCTCTGGCTACGTCGACGGGTCGTGACCGAGGTTGACCTTACCTTTAGTTCTATTTTCACGAGATCCGACGACGAGGTCATACCCATGCACATTGCATCGTTCAGTGGAACGGGCGGCTGCACTTTGGACAGCTGTTTTCTGTCCCGCCTCATCTCTTCGAGGGTCTGACGCTCTAACACCGGCATCTCGCCCTCGGAGTCGCTTTCTCTGAAGTCGAACACCGACGTCTCCGAGGAGCTTCTGAATCCGCTGGCGCGAGCTGGCACGGTGGACGCGATCGCGGGCGCCGGAGCTGGCACGGGGACCGTCGCGGCCACGGACATGTTCTCCTCTTCCGTCCTCGAGAACAGTCGCCTTCTAGGCGGTAGGCAAGCCACCTTCTCGCGAGTTAACTTTGGAGGGCTACCCGCCGACGAGCCCGACTGCGGCGTGGACGTCGAAGCGCTATCTAACTCTGCGAATCAGAATTTTTAACTACCATTAAAACGGATTGTTCGCCAACGAAACCTCTATGAGATACCCAGGCACAACCGGACGGACTCTGTTGCGTCCAGAGTTACTTGGAACTTAGTTCTCACGATGTTATTTTTCTGAATACTTCATTTATTTGAAACTGATGTGCTTCAGGAGTACTTTAATATTTCAGAGAATAGAAGCAGTTAGCCTATGTTAAGTCTGGGTTAGTTTGCTAGATACTTAATTTATTTTTTTCTTTAAAACTGCCGAATAAATGTTACGTTTTTGGGAGTATAATATTTCACAGAATAGAAGCAGTTAGGTGCCTATGTTAGTTGCAACAATGAAAAAAAAAACTGGGTGAGCTACCTTTTGGCGTCGAGGAGGGATCCAGGGAGGGCAGAGTAGTTGGCTTCATTACGAATTGGCCGGTCCCCACCTTGAAGAAAGAGAAAAGGATTGTCACGGTATGGTGGTCCGTTTTCCGAGTATCGAGCCAGAGCGACAGGACGCAACTGTCTCTTCATTCACCTGTTTCAGTTCCGCCTTGGTTCTGATTTTCGCGGCTAATATGGCGGCGAGGCCGTCATCTTTGTCACGGTGAATCTGATTCTCGGCTCCTCGAGGTCCCAGGAGTGCTTCCTTGCCAGGTAGCGTGGCGGATGAATTTACTCTCGAGCCGTACAAGCTGCGGGGGGCCTCCTGAGTGATCGAGTCTACCGCTCGCGGCACATGGAACTTGTAATGGGGCGGCGTGTTGCTATTCCGTTCCAGCAAACTCGCTGCCGTGAATGGTGACAGGTTGTGTCTTCCGATATTTGTTTTCGGCTCGACCGGTGCAACAACCTTCCGGGAATACAGAACACGGCCGTTTACTTAATACCACTTGACTATTCCAACTCCTAACTTAACGCGATAACGTTCTCGTCTACCGCGATATCATTTCTAATTAACCCTTTGCGATCACAGACTTTTCTTCGACCGCCTACTAATAATTGCAAACACACTTTCTTACGAAATGGAAAGTCTTATTAAATAAACTCAATTTGCATACTTTCACGAACAAAATTATTTCTTCACTAATGTTCCCAAACGTAAGATTTTTAGAATCGTTTCTAAATTCCAATAGTTTTATTTAAAAGCTTCTTCGCGCGTTACTATTCCACGCGATCGATCAACGTCCAAGGGGCAAAAGAAGTCCATAATATGTCGAGAAGGGACAGAGAGACGTACCTTATTCTGAAAACTCTGTTGGCTGTGGTTGGCCAGTATAGGCTGCTGACTGTTCATCTGTTCCTCCCTCTGCTGCTTGTTCTCCAAGCTGTTTCTCAGCAAGCTGAGGACCCGTTTGTCGGCGCCGGTGTTGCTCGGCGGTTCCGTGGGCTGTCCGGCGGGGGTGGGACCGGGCGGTGGTCCGACCTTCTGGCTTTGCCGATAATTCGAGTAAGCCGTCTGGCCGGGGTTAAGCTGTTGCGGCAGAGAGTGGACGTTGCTCGGTTTCGCGACCGGGGGATGATTGTACGGGAGCGAGCTATGGGTAACCTTGGGCTCCGCGTAGCTCCTCTTATCACAGTAGGCTTGCTGGTACCTTGAGGACTCGGAGGAGGAGTAGCCACTGTCCGATCTCTGCTCGTAGGTGTTCGGTGCAACGAGGGTTCCGTTGGGCAGAGGGACTGGGAGGTTCATCTCCTGCCTCTTCTGTTGCTCGTAGAGCGCCTTGGCGGTGGACAGTCTCTGTTGTATCCATGTGTCGAGTCTGGGTTGCTTGTGGGGTACACCAGTTCCGTACATCGCGTCCCCTGGCCTCTTAGACGTCGCTCGATCCCTCTGAGGCGATGGTTGACCGAACTTGCTTCTGCTGTCCATGTAGTACTTCGACTCTGTCGGGTAGTCCTGGAGAGGCAGTCCGCTGTGGGTGATCCTGGTAGGGTCGACCATGGGCGGAGGGTACCTGGACGACCTGGACGCCGCGGAATCGTTGGCCGACAGGTAAGAGGAGGACGGGGCTGGCGGAGGCGGCGCTGGCACGGTGACGGCGTCGTACACCTGCGCCGTGGGCAGTGATGTCTTTTTAAACGTGGACATGTGGGGCAGTGGAGCGGTATTATTAGGATGCTGGGAGGAAAGGGACTGCGGGGGCGGAGCGTACAGCTGCTGCGTCGAGCTCCTTCGCTGTAGAGTATTCTCGTGCGGTTGACCGTGATGGTGACGCAGCGGCGCGGAGTTGAAGTCCGGCAAGAAGTCGACCTTCGGGGCGCAGACGGTCTGCGGCGTCGAGGCGCGGACGCCGGTGCTCTGGTGGGATCTGTTGCCCCCCAATCGGTTCTCGTAGCCGGGGTACGATTGAGGGGGCGGTTGCACCGGGGGTAGCATCGTCCTGGACCCGTTGCTTCTCGAGGACATCACGGTGGAGCTGCTGACGACGTGCTTCTCCGTCGTGATCATCTCGATGTCGTCCTGAGCGGTGGAGTCCGCCGAGGTCTTCACGGTCTTCACGGACAGGTCCAGGGGGGACTCTCTCTTCCGGATCCCGTTGGTCTGCTGCAGGGGGGTGGCCACGACGGGGGCGGCCGTGGACTGTACCGTGGACGCGGAGGAATTCGGATAGAAATACTCCTTGTATCCGTAATCGTCTGTTGCTCGAGCTGGCGGCTGATAATGGTAGGATGATGCCGTGCGCGTCGCGTCCGTGGACTGGTAGGCGTGCATGGTGGTGACAGGGGCGGAAGATCTGGCCGTAACGCCGATGGAGGTGACGCTGGTGCTGCTGGAGGAGTTGCTGCCCTGGTGGCTGGGCGCCATCGTGGTCGCGTAGGTCGGGTAGCCCGGCTGACCCGGGTACCTGCTGTACGAGGAACTGGTGACCGTGGTCGTCCTTCCGTTGACGGGCATCGCGTGGTTCGCCGGGTACTCAGCGACCCTTTGGGGTGCTGGCATCGAGGATGGCAGCGTCCCGACGACCTTGCTAGCCGCGGTGGCCGAGTATGCCCGCTGTCTGTGCATCGGTTGAGCCTTGCTCACGGGCTCCCGCCTGTTGGAATGATAGGACGACAGAGCAACGATGGGCGGAAGGTTGTGCGTGTTGGCGATCCGCTGGACGGTGGTCAGCGGGGACCGATAGGCGCCGTAGGGCGCCTCCATCGAGCTCCTCTTCGAATCGACGCCGTTGTACGTGACCGGTTTGTTGCTCTGCTGGTAGCCAGGTCCGTTGGTGTTACCCGTTCCCGAGCAGATCGACGGCGCGGGGGCTGGCAGCTGCATCTGCTGCGCGTAGGGCTGGCTCTGAGATCGGGGCTGGGTGTAGTAGTTGGGTTGCGTGTGCGGCGGCTGGGGACTCTTTTGGAAGGAATGATACGAAGACTGTGGCGGGATCGCGTACGGGTTCGCGGCGTAGTCGGTGGTCGGCTGGTAGTGCTGCGACGTGATCGGAAGGCTGTACGAGTGCGGGGTGGAGGTGGCAGGTGGCGGGGGCGGGTAGGTCGGCGAGTGAGGCTGGAAGCTTGAGTGAGGCGAGGGGGCGTGATGAGGGGAGGCGTGAGGATTGTGAAGGGCGGACACGTGAGGAGATTGTCTGTGCGGCGAGGGAGCGGCGTGATGAGGAGCATCGTGGGGGGAGGCGACGGGATGATAACCGGTCAGCGCCGGGGGCGGTGGCATCTGATTAGAGGACGAGGGGGACGCGGTCGGTGTCCCGTGGACGACCAGACGACCGCTGTACGAGGGAGCGGCGTTTATTCGACTAGATAGCTGTTGCTGCTGATGCTGCATCTGACCGGGTTGCTGCTGCTGCTGCTGCTGCTGCTGGGACCGTACCACGGGAATGTGCGCCGGAAGATTTTGCGACGACGACGAAGACGAAGGAATGTGACTCAGGCTGCCGAGACGCGCCGACGAGCAGGACGGAGACGAGGAGACGCGCGACGAGTGCGACCTGTCCGCCACGGGGTTGTTGCTCGAGGAGCCCAGTCGACTGGGGGGCTGGTGCTGCAACGCCCGGTAGCTCTGAGGCGACGGTGATCCATAGATCGACGGCACGCTCGTCGGCGGGGGCGCGCTGGAGTAGGAACTCGGTACCCTTTGCTCCTGAGCGAGTCCCTCGGAGGAGACAACGTTGGGCTGCTCCGCGGGGGTGGACCTCGTCACCGGCTGAACGTTCCCCGACGGCGTCGCCACCACGTTCGCCGACTGGTACACCGAGTTTTGAGCGAACGGTGCAGAGGCGCTCTTCGTGATGTCCGGATGATGGTAACGAGGGTAGTACTGGTTCCTCTGCGCCACCACCGACGGGTTCGATTGCGGCTGCTGGTCCGTGGCAGTTTGGTATGTCGTCTGGTGCGACGAAGCGAGTATTTCCGCGGTGGAGAAGGACGTTCTGGAGACGTTGTTCAGCTGCTGGTACACCGGACCGGGAGATACCGGCGGTTGTTGGGGCGGTTGCATCTGGTGCAAGTGGGAGCTTGCATCGGTGACCGTCGTCGTCGGTTGAGAGCGATGCTGATGATCGTTGGACGACTGCTTTTGCGAGGATCGACCGCTCGATGGCTGCATCTCCGTCAGCGTGATGGTGTTCGAGGACGACGAGCTCGCGGTGAGCTCTATGGTGGAGGTTTCGTCGGGCCTCGTGTCCGGGACCTCGACCCTGGTCGGTTGAGGAGGATAGGGTTCGACGGAGGGGCTCCAGTAGCTGGAGCCCGCAACGCCGTTGTCCACCGAGGACGGCCTGACGTCGCCAGGGTAGCGACTCGGTTCCTCGTTGCTGCTGCTGTTCGGAGCCGATTGCGGCGGTAACGATAGTGACGGTGGTGCTGACGGTGCTGACGGTACTGGTGACGAAGGAGCCACGGATGAAGCGGAGCCATGGTCGTGAGACGCTGATGTGGACGAGGCGGAACTCGTGGATGTCGCGAGATTGTGATCCGCTGACACGGTTGCACCACCTGTACTCGGCACGGGCAGTCCCTGGAAGTACTGGCGAGCCCCCTCTAATACGTTCGTGAAGCTCACATCCATATCACGCCGACTGCTGATCTGAAATAAAAGAAAAACACGTTCGTTACAGGAGAGTGTTTTAAGGGGGCAGTAAACGTTGCAAAATTTAACCATCTTTATTAATTCTTTTTAAGCGAATCCAATGATATAATTCATTTTCATAGTTTACTTAACTATCCTTTGGGAATACAGCATGAGTTTTTTAATAATTATTGTTGGAAAAGGAGAAGGAGAGGTCCGAAAATTCGGTTCACACGATACCGTCGACTAGCGAGGACGATCGTGGATCCAGGTCGAGGCATTAATCTTCATTGTCTTATATTTGTCTGTTGCGAGGCGGACGGAGGCTGGCTCCCCTGCGCTTTTATTGGCCCTATTTTCTCCGGGCGAGCGACTCGAACTGCGAGGCGGACCGATCTCGCGTTATTAATCTCTTTGGGGCCACGTTGCACCGTGGACGATAAGATCATCGCGAGGAGCAGCGGAACAACCTGCCGTGGGGAACAAAGCGGGATTATTGTTCGGCGAGCGCGACGACGTCCAGTTACGGGGGGGGGGCCCTAAATAGTCGAGATTGATAGAGAAGCCTCTCGCCGTGGCTCAATTAAACGCAACTGCTGCGAGCACGCTCGAGGTGCACGGAGCTGAGATACGATCGTCGATTACTACCGACCACGAATTAAAACTGCTGCAACGACGATGGGAAAAAACGAAACGACCGGGAACGTTGCGTCAATCGTTGTTAAATCGAAGGGCGAGCGTTTCGAAACGGAATGGCGGAGGTGGCTAATGACCGGTAGGTTGGGCAATTGTTGAAGACGTGGAAACACATTTTAACACGTCAATTGCTACATCATCCACATATGAGTAACATAATTTCTTTAGCTTCTCAGTGAAAAAATCAATTCTCAAGATTAGATGTTGTCGAAAATAAATCTAGAAAGGGCTTTTGAACTCTAAGAAGACTGTGAAAATAAATTGCACGATAGATTATGACTATAACCAAACTCTTCGTTGCCAGTTTGACAATTTCGGTGCAGAATTTGCAACTGCAAGGAATGAATCGAGACGTGGTTGCAGCAAGGGGGATGAAATTGATTTACCGTTTCGAAACAGTCGGTACCGCGATTCGTCGGCGCAAACATCGATTCAATGGCAGCGATTTATACGAATCCTCGAGAAGCCAACGACTCGCGCAGTCATCGTGATTCACCTTTTCTCGCGGTAAGATGCCCACGGAACGACGGTGGAATCCTATCAAGTATTGCTCGATCGTCCGGCTATCCTCGATATCGAAGGGCGCGCGGAAGATCTTTATCCCGTCGGAACAGCCACTCCACCGTCGATCGTTATCGATTATCAGGGATAAGGAGGACCGGAGAGACAGCGACGGCTCGATCGTGTCGTGGCTCATTGAGACGTGCTACGTGCCCACCGTCTGCGTGAACGGGAGGAAGCATAGCGCGGGAGACAACCCACCCACCCGACCATCGTCGGCGTACAGGTAGCTGGCAGAACGTCGGTGGAAAGCGGTAGGCGAGAATCAATATCGCGCACCCTTGCAGACCGAGCAACCTGAGGGGTTGGTTTGGTCCCCTTCGCGCGCCAGTCAAAGGCCCTTCTCGAACCGTCATCCACCCCCCTCTGGATCCTCTCTGTTCTCCTTCGACGATTTCCTTCTTACCTCTTCGTTTCGTTACACTCCGTTTTATCCCGTTTCTGTCCACATTGGGTCTATTCTAACACCCCATCCCCGGTCGAGGACGCGGAAACAATGAAAAAAGTTCGTGCAAACGCGTGCCCTGTTTCACCTTGTTCCCCAGTTATAGCCATCGCTGTACTCTCCTCGTAATGTGCAGCTGCTAGCGTTCACAGGAACCGCTCGAAACGAACACTTTTGGCCTCGATGCTAACCTCCGCTCGACGTGGCGTTCGACTACTTCTTAACGATATTTTAGGTGCTTTGTTGAAACTCTCACTGGGTTCTTTTGCAAATCAGTCTCATATAGCGTTGCAATAAATTGGAGAATATGTGATTTTCAGTGGCCCCAGAAATGGGACTCTGACAACCCTCTACTCCGAGCAAACATAAATTCTTTGTTCTTTTAAAGGGCTAAGTACAGATGGAAATGAGACAGAGTGTACCATTGCACATAAATCACATGGTACGCGCATCACGTAATGGGGCGCCGATAATTCATGCAATCGATTACTCAAGAAATTGGCGTACGTTTGATCTGTTAATTTCGTATCGAGGAAAACAGGTCTGATTACATTATCGCCAATTATCTCCGCCCCCCCCCCCCAAACATTTACATTGATGTAAATGTTGTCGATGACTCGATTCGAAAAATATTCTCGATCGATCTTGTATCGTTTTGATAGTGGATCGAACCAGTAATTGGTTCCAGTAATTTTTGTAACGTTTTATCATCGGGCAGAGGTCCGCAGAGGGAAGGATTTGCATGCAGACCTCTGCGACTGAATTACATTCGGCGAGTTCAAACATTAACTGCGTGTCTGCTACTTCCTGGTTTGCATACCTATTCATTATCGCTTCTAACACACAACAAGTTGGAGTAACATTAAGTGCTTGTAGTAAGAGAACGGACCAGACTGATTTATAGAACAGAATAGTCAACAGGGTTGAGAGGTATCAAGGGGTTGTCGAGCGTTCTGCACAAACAGTTTAGGAGAATCAGTTATACTAACTCAGTTTCTGATTAACCATTTCACACGCCGAACCCATATCCGCGCTCTAGAACGCTCTAAATTTAGCACGTTGCGGTATAAAAATTCACCGGGTGAAGAATTTTGAATTTCGATGCATATAGGTGAAATTGGGGGGGGGGAAAAATATTAAGAAATATATTTATATGTTTTTACTTTTTGAAACGTTTGACGCTCGATTGTGGAAGAGTTAAAAATTACCAGGAGTTCAGAAATGGCTGGAACTTTAAAACAGGGTCAAGCCAGAGCACGAGTTTCAACATTTTCTATGGTTTCCGCGTCCTCCATCGATCACCGAAGTGGGTTCCACGTGTTAGGGCACACCCTGTGTATGCTCAAACACTTACACAGGATGGTCCAGAAATAGATATCCAAATATAAAGTCTACTTTCTAGTCGATGCAAGAGGGAGGAAAATTACTTGGATGACTAACTCGAAACAATTTACATTTTTAGTTAGAAAAATGCTTGGCAAATTTATGGTAGCTTGGAATTAATGGACTTCTATTTGTAGAGGCATCTTGAGACTCCAGAATAGGCTTCTGAAACGTGGTCGTCTATTTCGGAAACACCGGGTATAGGCTCTATCGCCTAGCAGAATCATGATGTAGCAGTTGCATCGGGTAGGTTAACTGGAATTCTCACGATTTTGGGTATAGGAGGCCATTCGATAACGCTCTACGGGCAATAAATACCCGAGCCAAAGCAGTGGCCGATGTGTTTCGTGAAACAAGGGGTTGGAGGGATCAAGGTGGACAGAATCGAGGGTAAGGACGCTTTACGGGCTAGGATCCGGTCGAAACGCGAGTAGGTAACGCGATAAGATTCACGATAAATGGCTCTGTTTTATTGGGAGCCATTGGCCAGCCAAGTTTGATTCGTTTGCTCGACCTTCTTCGTAAGGGAAGATAAATTAATCAAGAAGCTTCATTTTTAAATACATTCCTCCGTCATATTTTTATTTACAAAAAAAAATCTCAGGTTATTTGATTAAGAAATAATCAAAACGTCATATTGTCAATGAGAAAATATTATTGTACCTTATAACAGTTTCATTTGTAATTTTGCTTCGTTACTTTATTAATATTATTTCTCCAGCGTCGTTTCGAAGATTCTCGCGATACTGGATGATTTATCGGATATGTTTTGCGATCTTTGGAGAAAAAAAAAAAAGGTACAGCGCGTTAATTGGATAAGCCCACGGACGATCGTAGGAAGAAACGGATAGCCAAAAGTAAGGAAAGCACCCTCCCGATTCTTGGACGGTCGATCCGATTCCTCCCCCCCATTGGCGAGAGCAGGTCCCCAGAGAAATCAGACCTTCCGGGAATTCTCGCTTGTTGAATTCGATAAAGGGTCTCTGGAAATCCATCGCCCCTGCGATATACCTATTCAGTCGGACCATCGAAAGAGAGTCTCCGTGATTTCAGTATAATCTCTCTGGCACAAGCGTTCCGATCTAACTGGGTCATCTAGTTTCTGTTTTCGCGCGTGCATCCGTTCCAGGAACGCGACAACAGTTGCAGACCCATTAGCAAGTTTGCAAAGTTGTTACGCAAATTATACGAAACTCCGACCGTTAAAGTTCGCACAGCAATTTTTTCTAACCTCCAGAAGAAATTAAAGTACAACTATTCTCGAGGATTTTCGTAATCGAAGATAACGAAAAGCAAAGAATCTACGAGCCAAATCTAATTTTGTCTCATCGAAGATCACTTGAATTCAAAATGTAAGTGAAATTTAAAGCAGCGAGGATCGTCGAAAATCTCGGGAGAATTCTCAAAGTTCCGAGAATTTCAAGGATATCGCGAGGATCGAAACTTCCGGGAGAGTTCGAAATCTTTGAAACTGGAAAGTTGCGGAAACCAAATGGTTCGGATGTTCCAAGTTCACGGCGAGAAGTTAAGCACGCGACCCATTCTCTGGATCTTCGGCGAACTTCGCGCAGACCTCGAAACAAGATCCAAGAAACAGCCTTCTCGCGGTGAAGTAAAAATGATTTTCATTATCGGATCGAGTTTGGACGAGCACCAGTTCGCGTAGTCTCGAGCGGAAGACAGCTCCCTGAGTGAAAGATCGTTGTTTCCGGTGGAATCGGGGTTCGAACATCGAATACAAACGACTCCGTAGTTCGGGATTGCAGCCGAAGATTGCGAATCGGGATAATCCGGCTCGATTAAAAGCCGCGGCGCAACGGCCAGGGCAACGGAACGTGGCGGAAGTACGAGAGGGAGCCGAGCAACGCTTTAAGCCGGGTTAAGCCGTGGCTTAAATGGCCGCCACGCGGCGAGAACTGGTTCCTACGGGGCC